CAGTAAGGTCTAGACCTTACTTTGTAAAGTGTCCTGAGATGACTTTTGTTGTGATTTGGCACTATACAAATAAAATTTGATTGATTGACTATTGCTGCCTACATAGGCAAGTCGGGATCAAGGGGGCGGCTGTGGCTCAGGAGGTAGAGCGGGTTGTTTCCTAACTGCAGGATTAGCGGTTCGATTCCTGGCTTATCCGGTCAACATGTTGAGGTGTCCTTGAGCAAGACACTGTACCCCCAGTTGCTCCCGGTGATGTCACCGGTGTGTGAGTGCTTGGGAGTGCGAATGGGTGAATGGCCAAATAATGTGTGCAAGCGCTTTGAGGGTGCTGTAAAAGCATAGAAAGGCGCTATACAAGTATAAGACCATTTACCAAGTCAGACAGAAAACTAACTGGCTGCACTGTGCGCCGATCGCTGGTGACTGAACTTGTGTAGATCTGAGTCATTTCAAATGTGCCTCTTTCCACATTGTCTCTGAACTTACTGACATCACAGTCAACTCACTCAGTAAGTTTAAATTTTTCCACATCCTTCATCTAACAGCTACAAGTTGCATTAAAAGTAAAACTCTTTTCTATTTCTGTGACAAAACGATGACTGTGAAACTTTCTTCTTTTCTCAAACTCACAATGGAGATCCAGGACTGATGATGAATAACTTGATGAATGAAGTGGTTTGTTTGAAGCAGACTCATACTAACTGATTCAGCCCCACCCATCCCAGCAGGCCCCGACTCCAGCACATGACAATGGAAACAGGTCACATAGATATAAATCCTGTTTCTAATCAAACAGCAACATTCAGAAAATATCTGAGTAACAAAAATATAACAGCTGAAATCAGATGTCTGATTTGGTCTAAAAAAAAACTTCTGTAAAACAGGAAATGACATGATCTTCAAAGTCTAAGAGTGACTGGATCATCCAGTGACATCACAGTGACATCAGAAGAGGTGCCTGGGGTCATCGGGTGGAGGTGTGGTGATATTAACTGGGATCAGCTCCACACTCACTCTCCTCAGGAATGTCCTGCAGGTCTGGGAGGTCAGAGGGCATAGGTTACCATGGTGACTATTACCAATCATGTACTGCACTGATCAATGCATAAACAAAACCATTTAGCACACTTCATGTTTTAATTATATTACTGTTCCAATGCTGTAAATACTGAACATAACACAATACTAACAAACATTGTTGATGCATTTCTTTTTCTCTCTTCTCTACCCACTCACAACAACTGGTCGAGGCAGATGGCCACCGGAGCCCAGGTCTGTCGGAGGGTTTTTCTCCTTCCCACTGTTGCCAAGTGCTTTCTCAATGGGGATTAGTTGTTTTTTGTTTTTTTGTGATTTGGTGCTAAATCAATAAAATTGTAACTAGACAGCACTCAGAGAGCACAAACTTCCACCGACGCAGCTCACTGTCCCATGATGCTTTTACACCTAAAAGCAATATTTCCATGACAGTGTGACCCTCATAATATGATTCATTGACCATGAAAACCTACTTCTGGGATTTGGAATCACATCAATATCATTAGTAGTTTGAAAGTTATTCAAGAAAAAATAATATTTCACTAATGGTAGATTTCTTCAGGATCTAGATCAGAACCTGAAGATACGTCAAATCTGTTGACACTTGCTGAGTCAGCAGTTTCAGCTAAACATTTAGTTCCTAGTTACAGGTCAGTAGCATTATTTGTTGTTTCATAGGAGCCAATTTTCTGTGAACCCTATAAATGTGACCATGCAGGATCAGCAGATCTGGAATATGACTTGGGTCCAGATCAGACTTTGGTGTGTGGTCAATCTTATGGGGATGTTATCATTCAGCTTTTGTCCAAGCATTGTGCCAGGCACTGTGTATGGAGTCAGAAGCAAACGTACTGAAAATCATTTGAAAAATTCCTGGATCTGGATGATGATCTGGATCACCATCAAACTCTAATGAATTGTTCCATAGGCCCCACCTCCCAAAAAACATAATCAAAAGTAATTAATTACTTTTTGAGTTATGCTGTGAACAAACCAACCAACAAACAAACAAACACTAGTAAAACCATACCGTCACTGGCGGAGGTAAATATTTACTGATCAGAAGAACACAGTGACCCCTACTGACCTCTGGGGCTGTCAGAGCGAGGAGAGATTTTCATCACTTCCACCTCTTCCTCCTCATTTCCCTCCTGAACACCATCTAATTTGTCACCTGGATCCTGACTAGCCAAAGGGTAGAGAGGGCAGGGCTCCAGTTCCTTGCTGCCACGCCTCCGGCCCACCTGCAGACAGACACATCTGAGATAAGCTTATCTTTAATAGGCTATATTAGTATAGTTTATCCTGGTTTAGTTCACTGACAGTCACACACTTTGACCTGGTCACCAAATCACCTGACCCACCTGTTCTTCACTGGTCTCTCTGTTGCTCTTCCCACCACTCAGCTCTGGCTCCTTCCTTTCAAGCCCTTCCCCCTTCAAACGCAGTCGTGTCACTTCCTCCTGAAGCAGTTCCACCTGCCGCTGCATCATCACCACCTCTCCATTGGCATCTAGCAACACATCTCGAGACACTGACTGACCGATGCGAGGCCCGGAGGCTGGGCCAGGAATTGGGTTGGTAGAGGGGACTGGGCATGTACTGACTGACAGCTCAAGGATTGTGTCCTGACAAATCACAGCAGCCTGGAGATGGAATCAGAGTTAAAGGACTGATATGGCACTTTTTATACTGTAGAAAACAATTATAATAATCAATACAATCACAAAATTAAACAAGTTAAAAAAAGCTAATTGTTCTCTGTCAGACCTGCAGGGCGTGAAGCTGCATGCTCAGATTGATCAATCGTTGACGGACTTCCTGCGGAGAGAAGAGTTAAGAGTCACCCTGAGTTCACTTAATCACATTCTTGTTTCCACCACATCTGTTCTTCATATCTACAGCCAGTCCACAACCAGATGAGAGCTCTGTAGAGTTTTTTGATAGCTTATATCCAAAAGTGTTAGAGGTGGCAACTGGACTTACTTGCTTTTCAACAGTAAGTCCACCTGTAGCACTTCTGGATATAACATCCCTTACTAAAAATCTCCACAGACCTTTGATACCTTGGCATTTGATTTGTACAGGTACTGTGATGAAGAGCAAACAGCTGCTACTAGAGTTATTTTAAAAATTTACTGCTTGTATTTTTATTGGCAAATAGAAAGTTTAATATTAGTTTCATGTTGCCCTTGAAAATAAACCGTTTGACTTCAGACCAAATGGAGAAGTGAGAAATGATTAAAGAGCAATGGCGCTTTTCCTTGTTTTACTTATCTACAATGATACAACGGTGAATTATCATCTTAGATGTGACCTAAAGCTCAAAAAAATTAGATGTACATATTTTAGGAAGGCAGAAGCATCTCGGTCTAAACAAGTCTCGCAAACTCTCGCTCTAAATAAAGTATTACGTGATAGTCTAAGGATTTCCTTAAATGGGCATAAAATCCAGGCCGTTGCATGTTCATGTGAGCTTGCCTGACATCCACTGGTGTCCCCACCATATTGGCAAAATGTTATATTGCCTTGCTTGTTATGTATATTTTCAGTAAAGCTTATTTAAAAAAAAGACAGCCAAGGTGCCATTTTTAAAAGTGTAATTTTTCGACTGTGCCCAGTTTTGTGGATATATTTTCTCTCCTGCTGCTGCACTCTGATCAGAGGATGTGGAGAAAAACAGTTACTGCATGTCCAGGAATGTTCCTGTACAGGGACTCACTGTTTTACCTGACCGAGTCTAATCTACAAGCAGCTGGCCAATGAAGACCCAGTGGCAATGAATGATCAGTTCTTCAATGCTGTCTACTTTCGATGCAACAGGGGCAGCAGGAGTTGTGTGCATTCACGAACTATCCCCTCATTTTAAGGAAGAAGCTCTCTGGTTTTATTATTTTTACATGATCACAGACTATTTGCTGCATACTAGGAATTTATCTCAGTAATTGCTCCTATGTAAAAGAACAACAAACAAATACATTCGAACAATTCAGACCGTCTGTTTAAAACAAAATTTTAAATGAACAAAAATTTAAAATAGACAGGGACAATTAACAAATTGACAACTAAACGGGAAACAAAGTGTTCATTACCTGATTTAAGGTTCGTTCCTGCAGCTGATTACCGTTTCTGTCCTGAGAGAAAAAACAGAAAATATCTGAAACCCAGAAGTTCAAAGACAGTCTCTCACTCCTGATTACACTGCATTGTTTTAACAGCAGGGCTCTTATTTAGATATTTTACTCTAATATATAGTACATACTTGTCATCAGCTGTTCAATAACAATGAACCAAACTTCAACATTAAACATATTTTCATCCCTTTAATCTGATCTGCAAACTATGCAACTGTGAAATCTGACCTGTAACATCTGCATAGCGCTGTTGCTTTAAAAAAAAACACACACAGTTGCAAAAATATAGATTTATAAAATTTGAAACAGATAATTATCCAATAAAGGACTGATGCTATGCCTACAGTTTGTTTCCTGTGATTTTCAAACTCAGTTAGCTGACATGTGAATCAATTGAATATGTCTCTATTTTCCTTTAATTACCATCAAATGACAAAGAAACATCCATAAAACGTCGACTTGTTTCTTATAAATTACTGGGAGACAAGGGATCAGTAAAATGAAGAATTAAAACTATTTAATCGTGATTAATCGGGTTATTGTCCATAGTTAATTTGTGAATCATCGCAAATTAATCCCATTTTTTAATCTGTACATTTGCTCAAGTACTGTCCTGAAGAACAATTTTGAGGTATCTGCACTTGAGTATTTTCACTTTCTGTTACTTCATTCTTTGACTTCACTGCATTTTAGAGGCAAATATTATATCTTTTACTCAACTACATTTTAAAACTTTAGTTACTTTTTAGAACCAGATAATACAAAAAATACAATATAATTATGACTTTATTATATATGGTGGAAAATTCACAAGCTACTCAGCAGTAATTCAAATTAAATACATATAAACCAGTTAAAACTATCTCCCACTTTACCACCTGCAACATTAAATGTGGTCTACACAGTAATGCATCAGTGATTATAATCTAAAAATATAATATACAAGAATGTGAAATGTGCTGTTCCACATAATGAGTACTTTTACTTTTAGTACTTTAAGCATGTTTTGATGCAAATATTTTTGTACTTTTACTTAAGTAACAATTTGAATGCAGGCCTTTTAATTGCAACAGATATTTTTACACTGTTGTATTGCTACTTTTACTTAAGTAAAGGACCTGAGTACTTCTTCCACCACTGGTTCTAAATGTACCTTAAAGGGACCCTGAGGTAGTCCAGTAGTCTCTGGTGCTAACATACATAATATATTGAAACTGGTCCAGGCGTCTCCACTGCAAACTAACCAGCATGGTCTGCCTTTGGCAAGGGGAAGCAGGGCTCTCTGCTGTGTGCTTGGCCAGCAAGTCCACAGAAGATCTCAAGATGAAATCTGCTGGATGTTCTCTCTTTCAGATTTGTACATTACTGTGTTTCTATTTCTGATCTGTTTGATCACTTGTGTTGTAAAGCTGCTTAAGCCCTTTTTAGACATGCAGCATAATGTCCAAGTAAGCCCATGTGAGATCAGCATAATATAGTCCGGAGCGTTCACACTGAGCTAGTTGGCGTGTTGATGATATTCTATCATGTGACTGGCATGAAACAGCACCAATACAAACATCTGATGGTGAAGAAGGACAGTCATTTACAATGAAGACACCAACAACAAGAAGAAATGGTGCCTGACAGAGACTTCCTGTTGTGTGCTACATGTATGAAAGGGCTACTCTGGGTGGGACCTGATTCTGTGAAAACAGTCTGGAGTTCATGTGTGAAAGCGGCTTTATATTCAAATCATTTGCCAATTTATATTCAAATATTTCAATCAGAGTCAAAAGCTCCTAACAACCAACATCATTGGGAATCAGCCAGTGTTTACACTGCTGGCTCAGTGGAGGTCCTTACATACTTCATTGAGGAGAACCACTTTTAAACAGCCCATTTGGTTTCTATTTTCTTCCTAGTGATTTTCCATGCATCTTGAGTTTAAATAAAATAAACACTGTCATTTTAACCTAAGCCAGTGTTACAATCCCATGACCAGAAGTTAAATGTCAGGAGGGTTGCTTTACCTTTGAAGAGCTGCCGTTCAACACAAAAGATTCGTTCAGAGGACAAGAGTTACCATCTGGTAGAGAGACAGGCAGACAAACAGGTAAACACAGGTTACATGTTATTAGTTCATCATTCAAACACTAGATGGCAAAGTTGAGAATACAGGCTTAGTGCAGCTGTTGTTCTCAGACATCGCAAAGTGAATTTTAGAGATGATGTCATTGCAAACTAGGTAGGTGAATCAGAATTAGAAAAACTTGATTGTCCATTGCATGGTAACAGAAATTTGTGATTCACTCAGTAAACAAAGAACAAGGCATGCAAACTCACACAAAGATATGTTAGAACAAACTGAAAATTAAATAAAAACACAGAGAAAAGACCATGGAGGTAGATTTCCTTTAAAATTCATATACAGGTGACTTACTGCTGAGCTCCTGGTTGCCATTGGTTACGGAGGATTTCTGGACATTGGAATCTAACAGCAACTTAGTCAGTTTGTCCACTGAAACATCAAAACATAAACAAATTCATTGCAGTTTGTTTTATTTCATGTGAATCAGGTAAAACTCATCCAATCAGAGGTCCACCTTCACTGATGGCAGCCATGAGGAGTGGCTCGGCCTGAGAGGCATGAGGAGTGACAGCTCTGAACAGGTTCCTGCGGGAGGAGCAGGAGGTTGTCCTGATTGAGGAGGTGCTCACTTCCACGCCTCTTTCTTGTTCTGTTCCTCCTCTTCCTGTTGCGTCCACCAGGTCAGAAAACAGAGTGACACGCTCCTGTAGGAGCTCCAGCACCTCCCTGTCCTTCTGCTGGATGTCAGCTGGGGAAGGAGGAGAACAGACAAAGAGGAGCAGAGGAAGAAGGGGGAGGAGAAACATTTTAAATTAGATCTGAAACAGCTTCAAGTCTGTGTAGGACGAAGTTCAGTAGGACATGAAAGTTAGGTGGTGTAGGAGAGGGGGTAGTAGCAAGAGGTCAAGTACTATGAGGTACTACTGCAGGAGGAGGAGAGTGGCAGTGACATATCCTGGTCCAATATGACTCCAAGGTTCCTCACAGCAGTACTGGAGGCCAGGGCTATGTCATCTAGGCAAACTATATGGTTAGACAGCAGATTTCTAAGGTTTTCAGGCCAAAGTATAATAATCTCAGTTTTATCGGAGTATGTAAGAAATGACAGGTGATCCAGGCCTTTAGGTTTTTAAGACATTCTTGAAGTTTGACCAACTGATCTGATTCATCTGGGTTCACAGATAAATATAACTGAGTATCATCTGTGTAGCAATGGAAATGCTGTGTTTCCTAATAATGTTGTCTAAGGGAAACGTATAAAATGAAGAGAACTGGACCTAACAAGGAAGTCTTTGGAACTCCATTAATGGCTTTAGTTTGTGTGGAAGATAAGGGAAAGTGAAGTAGCAGGAAGTGTAGCACTGGGAGGTACAGTAGGAGGTGTTGTACCTCTGAGTCGTCGCAACAAAGCTTTGTCTTCAGTCTCGATGAGAGGAAATTCATCTCTGGATGGACAGCTGCACAGAAAATATGATGCTGTGAAGTACTGGTGAATTACATACTGTACTACAGAGTAATTTGCAGCATTACACAGTCCTACAGAGTACAACAAGGTACTGTGAGGTACTTTCAGGTACCATTCAGTATCAATAATCAGAGCAGTTCTACAGTACTAACCTGAGATCAACCTACTGGTACCATGCAATGCTGCAGCACTGGAAGCAGTACTTACCTGACAGCAGCCTCCTGGATCCGATTCATCCAGGTCCTTCGGTCATCCTTAGATGAAGCATACAACTCGTACATCTCCGGAGGCGTAGAGGAACTGATCAGGTACATCCCTCGTTCTTGATTGGCTATGTCTCTGACAATCAGGTTATTCAAAGAGACCACCGGAGACTTGTCCTAAGACACAGAGGCAGGTAAACTGACAGGTGAGAAACAACAAGCAGTCTGGTAAATAGAGAGGTTTGGCAGACCACAGGTGTATAGGCAGATAAACAGATGAGACAGGCCAACGTATGAATGACTCTTTATTGTCATTACACAGATGCATAATGAAATTTTGTCTAGATTTCTACTCGGTCAGAAAAAATGTAAAAGATGTCAGAAAGATTGATAAACATACAAATAAAAGAACAATCAAGATAAAAAGCCAAAAGCAGCAACATCAAAAAAGTGGCAGCACACGCTATAAATATAAGTAAATAAATCTGGAAACCCTTCTGAGATATGTGTAGTGCATGCTTAATGCTGCTTGATGTCACAGGACTATGAGAGTGAAGTCGGATAAACAGGTGAGATAAACACACAGGTGAATAGTCAGACAAATAGCCAGGTGAGACAGACAGGAAGAACTTTCCAGTGACACTGAGTAGTGAGGAATTCAAAAACTGGTTTCAGGAAGGACTGCATGTACTCAACCTAACAGCAGTTCAGAGTATCTGGACTTCTGAAGTGCCCAGGTGGTGTCCTCTCCAGGGCTCCACACCCCAATTCATAGTTCTTCTGAAGGACTGAGGAGACATGGTCTGATCTGAGCCTGAGCTGACTTCTGTTATTAGACTCTTGAACCAGTCTTGGATTATCTATGACAAATATGTTTGATCATCAGGTGGTTCATGAGTGTACCTGGTCTCAGGGGTCAGCCTTTCATCAAGAGATCTGCAGCTGTATAATCCAGGCAGACCTATGACCTGATCACTACCTAGCAGACTGCTGGATCAGGGGGTGGAGGAGACTGTAAGACAGCTCCTGTCCACCAGGTCTTTAATTATTCCTGCATCCTCGGGGAGGTGGTAGTGGTCAGGTTCATAGAGAGTCCATTTCTTTCAGACTCCTGACTCTCTGTCAGAGGTCACTGAGGAGTTAAAAAAAAGCTCAGTCACCAGGTGTGGATGAGATTCTCCCTAAGGTATTGAAGGGCGTGGTTGGCATTGTTATTGTTGGTGTGTCTCGGTTGTCTGTTCAGCGTCTCATGAAGGAGTACCAGAGCATGGTGGTGGGTCACACTTTTAAAAAAGGCAGACCGGATGGTGAGCTCTGACTCTCAAGGTCTCACACTTCTCTGCCTCTGTGAAAAAGCTTCTGTCAGACTGAAAGGAGACTCTGGATGATTGTTGAATGTGTCGGTGGTTGGATTCTGTCCTTGCCCTGGATCAGTGGACCTACTGTTTACTCTTGTAGGAATCCTGTAGGGGTAATAAGTCTGCATGTATTTTGTAGACTTGGGGAAGATCTATAAGCATATCCTCAGAAGCATCTTGTTGAGGAGGGCATTGTGCAGTATGCTGTACCAGGACACGTTGTCTTCATCAGACTGTGGTAGATCAGAGGGAGTTCATCCTGAAGATGAAGCTCTAGATTCACCAGTGGATCTTTGTTTCAGTCCACATAAAATGGGTTGAGAATGAGATGGTGGATTCAAGAAGGTGTAATGACTTTCCTTGGTAGAGGGTCTGGACTTGGCCTTAGGGACAGGTCAGGATCTCAGAGACCCAGGAGAAAAATAATTGCTTCTGCATGCTGAAAGGAGTCTGCATCTTATCAGGATCCACAATGATTACTTTGCTAACCCAGCTGCCAACATGACCTGAGCTAGGATTAAGTGGTGGAAAATGGAAGGAAGATGGGCCAGGTGTGACTCACCAGTGATGCAAAGGTGTACTTCTGGTCTTTCTCCTGAAGAAAAACCAAGATGTCTGACATCAGCAGGACCTGCACATCTGGACACAGTCACACCAGTTAGCAAGTGACGCTGATGTTTAAGTCCCACCACATAACTAGGTGTGACATCAGCAACTTAACAAGTACACAGCCTCCGTTACCTTTCATCCTGGAGCCCTGGACCTTCCAGTGGAGGGCCCCCTCATGAAGAAGCCTCCTCCTCTGCAGCTCTCCTCCTCTGAACACTCCTCCTCCCCGGACCTCTGCCTGGGCCCGAGGGTCCAGGTGGGCCTGGATTTCCTGCAGCCTTCTGGTCCGGTCCAGCTCCAGCACTTCTTGGTCCACTGAGCCAATCAGCTCTTTCAGGAGCTGCAGCACTCGGCTCAAAACCTGTACCTCCTCCTCACTGCCTGCAGGAGGCCACAGGAGACAGCAACATCAGTGGTCAGAGTTTATTAGAGGTCAAAGTTTATTAGATGTACCTTTATAGAGGTACCTTTGGTGTTGTCGAGGATTCGTTGGATCAGGACAGGATACTTTGTGATTCGTTGTGTCACCAGAAGGATGCACTCCTGGACACCATGACGACGCAGCAGAGAACCACGACAGACACGCTAAAAATTATGAGATGAAAATAGACAAAGTTAATATCTACACAGAAATGCAAAGTCTAAAACAATTTAAAGCACATCTAGACTATTTAAACCAGTTTTCAACCGGGTTTAAATCAAGTTACCCCGTGTCAAAACAGTGTCTAAACTAGGATAATCACAGGTCTACATCTGGATAAACTGGATTTAAAAAAGACTATCCTTGACACAGATGTTGATGGTTCAAGGAGGTGTTCCTCATACGTGAATTACCAGGATATCCAGATAATTCTGTTGACAATTTCACATTATCCAGATCTGTTGGTTCTTCAGAGGTCTTGAGGGACTTGTTGTCATGTCAGCATGTCTTTAAACTCAAACCTGCTCAGGAGCAGGTTAGTTATCAGGCTGATTCAGTGTAAACAAGATAACTTCACAGATTTAAAGGGTCTCGGAGCAGGAAGCAACTCACTGACATTAGAGCAATTATAAGACATGACTTATAAGTGATATATGTTCAAACTGCAGACAACTGTACTTAATCATGTGCTGATATTTGTTAGAATCCAAATCAGATTTGTCTTTAATGGCCAAGTATGTTTGACTGTAGACAAATTTGACTCCAGTATAGAGGCTCTCAGAAAACAGCAATAAAATAAGAATAAACTGTGTATGACAGTCTGCGCTCTCTCACTAGACATCTGCGTGCAGCCAATCAGAAACCAGCTGATCAAAGTTTCAACTGTCAATATATATGTTCAAGTCACTGATCATGAGAACGTGCACTTATCTTGAATGATAGAATCTAACTTTTCCAATCCACAACACAGGGTTGAAGAATTGAAATATCTGGATAACCTTAACTGGCATTAGAAAATCCACCATTGCTCATTTGACCTAGTACCTGTTTAGCAACATATGAAGAGCACCCCCCAGAACCTCATTAAGCCTGAAGTATGAAGTAGGTCTGAATCAGATCTAATAGGCCTGAGCAGGTTTTAAAAAAAGTTAAAATGGGTTTAAACTCAGCCAGAAACAAGACCATTTGGAAGGGTTTTCTGTGCATATACTAGGAAGAAATCAGGTCTAGATTTGGATAAACCAGGATATACCAGGCCAAATCTATGTTTAACCTACTACTAAAAAGCATAAATATGTCCAGGTTAAACTCAACAAAGCCAAAAAACAGATTCAGGTCTAAAGCAGAGTAAAGCAGCCTAGTTAGATCCTGCTTCTGATAATCAAATGAGAACGCTTAAGTTCAGGCCCAGGTCCTCACCCTGATGAATTGCTGCAGCCGTCGGTCGCGAGCAAAAACTTCTTTGTAGAGTTTCACAGCTTTCAGATGTCGACTGCAGAATTCGGAGTAAAGTTTCTTCATGTCGTCTGCAAACTGAACTGAAAACTGCACACACACACACACACAAATGTGTACACATACACAGTGGGTACAGTTACTCAAGTACTGTACTTAAATACAATTCTGAGTTATTTGTACTTTACTTGAGTATTTTCTTTTTCTGTTACTTCATACTTTGACTTCATTACATTTTAGAGGCAAATATTGTACTCTTTGCTCATAAGCTGCAAAACACAAGTCTGAGTCAAGTTTGAAGTCTATGTGCAACTCCAGTACCCAACTCTGTGTGGAGAAACTTGTTCATTGTCACACCACGCCCACACGCCATAACCCCCTCACAGCTTCCTGTTCATTGAGTCCAGCCTTACAGAGATCACCTGTGCTGCCGTACCTGTCTGAGCAGCAGGTCACCGATTCTGTAAATAGTGAAGTTGGTGGAGCTGCCTTCAATCAGCCCTTCCTTCCTCCTGTTCAGCAGCTCTGAGAGGAAGTTGGTATGGAGCTCCAGTAGCTGGTCCAGACAGGGGAACATGGTGTGAACCACACCAGCCTCCAGCATCACCTCCTCCAGCATCCCCCGCCGATACACCCCTTCCATGATCCGTAATGTCCGAACATGGTGGAACTCCGTCTGGATCAACTCTGAGAGGCAGACAAGAAACAGGTTTTTCCTGATGCAGTCGTCATAGTAATAGATATGCTGACCTGTCTCCATGACAACCAGAAACGGTCAGAGGAGACAACATGGAGGCACTAAAACACAGTGTTGATGTTTGACACTACAACCACTTTGAACAGAGATGTAAACACAGAGACAAAAACATACTTTGCATTTATCTGTGTGGTTGCTCATTATTCAGGCCATTTATAACCTGTACACACAGGTTTTTTCTTATTTTATTTTCTGCAGATTAATCAACATGGCTGTAAATGTTAGTCAAAAGATTCATTTTCAGCTGCTGTTCTTGGCCAAATGTTAAATTATCCATTAAAATAACAATAAAAGAAATAAAAGTTTTCATGTTGGACCAGTTTCATGTCTGTAAGATCATCCGGCTCTGGCTCTCTCTCATTTCTGTTGGCCAGTTTTCTGATGTGTCTGCATATATTCAGTGTGCATATTCTTTTTTCTTATTTACTGAGAATGTCACTGAGGTCTTTTTGTAAACATGTATGTATACATGTATGTAGATGACATGCTGTTTGCTCACACCTGTGTGTGTGTACACATATCTGCTCTTTAATGTGAATATTTTCTCTGTGTGTATGAGTGTGGAGGGTTTTGTACCATAGATGACATCCTGTTGTTTCATGAGGTCTTTGTGAAGTGTCTGCAAGAATTTTGGTTCCACAGCGAGACTCCAGCTGTCCGCCTGAACACAGCTGCCCTCCACCTGCAGCTCCTCCAGCAGGGGGTTCCACCACCACTCACCTACACACAACAACATTTCATGTCTCCATGGCTACAGTCAGACTACATATTCAGTGCCTCAGACCTGATGTGTCCACAGCAGTGTGAACAGTCCAGGTGTCCGCAGACTAAATCTCGGCCACCTGTGTATGTGCTCCTAGACCCAATTCGTCTGTGACCCTCTGATAGCTCTCGCACAGTCAGAACGGTCAGATCAGAATCCATGTGGCTGTTTTAACGTCTCCTCCTCTGCACATACGGCCTGTCATCATCATTCGGCCCCTCACAGACCGGTAACAATAAACATTTAGGAGAGCGACGGCAGCGACGGGATCAGTGGAGAGACCAGGATGTTTCACATGTGGTGGACATTTATGGAGAAGCTTCTGATCAGGCCTAACTGGAAATAACATATCATAACTCAGCAGTTTGGGAGGAAACTGGGCCATTTGACCATCACACACACGATCTGGTTGTTATTCTTGTGTGCACGTGGCTCACATTTCAGTTACATCGGTGCATGTGTGGCAATTTAGGAGCTCAGTTGGTGTTCACACCAGAGCCAGGTACATGGCACAGACGGGAAGCAGCAATGCACACATCAGATCTGACTGAAACATCAGAGCTGAGCGTTGAGGCCTGAGATGAGAACATTGTGAAAATTAATTCTTGCAGCTTGTTTCAGTGGTTCTCAGCCTGCAATGCCTCCTGCTGGTCATTTTTATTTAAACAACAAACTCTTAAACAAAACATGAAGAATTCACATTTGTGATCCCTGTGAGCACTGAAGACTCCACATGAAAATGAAGATAAATAAAAATAAATAAATAAATAAAATGATTCCCAGTTGGTAACAACAATAACAGGCAGCAGGTTATTGATCTATCATAAGTGATCGATAAAAACCAATTTACAAACCGTCATCAGTGAGAGACTCCATGGACAAAGTCCTGTTCCTGAAGTTTAAAGACTCCGTGGACTGAGAGAGAATCCTCCTGAGACCTGCAGTGTCCTCAGTACCCCTGAGAGGCCAACGGGTGAGGCAGACAGATAGGAGAGAGAGAGAGAGAGAGAGACAGGTGAGGCAGACAGACAGGTGGAGACATGAAATAACACATTTGTGTCTTTTCTAATGTTGTGTATCCAGAGTTTACTTGACGGGCCCGTTTTAAAAGATGAAATCAGAAAAGGTGACTGTAACAATAGGAACAAAGTTCAGTGAGTTGAGATTATAGTTAATTATTCACTGATTTTTGCTAATTGGTCAACAAAACACTAACACTGCAGTCAGTTGGAATGACTCCAAATTACAACCAGAATAATTCAATGCAAAGGTTCAAAATTGAAAGCCACATCTGTGTCAAATTCTTGCCCCACGATGGGCAAGAAATAAACACAATGCCTGGGCAGTTGTTACAGCAGGGAGACAACACTTCTAGGTCATTTTTACTTGATTTATCTGAATTTGTTCTAAATCTTAATGCAGCTTTAAATGCGGAATTCAAGTTAAGGCTTTGCTTATTGTCTAAAAGTCTGTCAGTGGTCTGGGCCCAAATCATAGCAGAGATCTGCAGGGACTGGTCAGCTGGTGGTGCCCAGAGTTGCAACTAAACAAGGTGAAAGGGCTTTTAGCAGTGATGCTGCCCACAGCTGGAACCAGCTCCCAGTAGAACTTAGACCAGCCCCAACTGGAGCCACTTTTAAAACTAACCTAAAGACTGCTCTTTTTTCCACTGCTTTTAATGTTTCTTCATTCCACCCAATTCTGCACTTCATCTGGTTTTATTTTTACTTTTCTTTTATCCATTACTTAATAATCAACCGATTTCATTGTGCTGTATAGAGATTATGCCCACCTCTGATGTTAAAATACTCAGAGATAGTCTTGGGAATACTAAAGTAAAGGGGTACAAGTATAATGAGAGCACCGTCTGCCACAGCTATAATAAAAGTATTAGGATCTACTCATGCATGTTGCTACTTGTACTGCCATGTAATTGTTGCTTTTAAGTCATTTTTAATGTTTTATCAAATTTGCATTCTCATGTTTTATTTATATATGTATTATAACATTTTAACTATATGCATTTTAATGTTATATCCATCTATGTGCATTGTGTTAGACACTTTGAATTGGGGTGCATATGAAAATGTGTGTCAGAAGTCTAGATTCCATAATTGGCAATGAATGCATAGTGATGTCTACATGCATTCATAGTGTACTTTATGTGCCATTAACTGCGTG